AATGACATCTTGACAATATTGAGTCTTCCTATCCATGAATATGAATATCTCTCCATTTATTTAGTTTTTTGATTTCTGTCATCAATTTCTGGTTTCCTCATATAGATTTTGTACTTATTCTGCCAGAGTTATACCTAAGTATTTCATTCTGGGGGGTACAAATGTAAATGGTTTTATGTTTTTAATTTAAAATTCTACTTGTTCATTGCTGGTATATAGGACAGTAGTTGACTTTGTATGTTAACCTTCTATCCTGTGACCTTGCTATAATCATTTATTAGTTCCACGAATTTTTGTCATTTCTTTTAGATTTTCAACATAGATAATCATGTCATCTGTGAACAAAGACAGTTTTATTTTTTCCTTTTCAATCTATGTACTTTTTATTTAATTTTATTTCTAATTTTATTTCTCACTCTGTCACCTGGGCTAGAGTGCCATGGCATCAGCCTAGCTCACAGCAACCTCAAATTCCTGAGCTCAAGCGATCCTCCTGCCTCAGCCTCCTGAGTAGCCGGGACTATCGGCGTGCACCACCATACCTGGCTAATTTTTACTATTTTTAGTAGAGACGGGGGTCTCACTCTTGCTCAGGCTGGTCTTGAACTCCTGAGCTCAAGCAGTCCTTCCACCTTGGCCTCCCAGAGTGCTAGGATTACAGGCGTGAGCCACCGTGACCAGCCTAAATTTCTAGTCTTATTTCATTAGCTAGGACTTCCTTCCAGTATACTCATGGCAGTGGTGAAAGGGGACATCCTTGCCTTGTTCCTTATCCTAGTGGGAAAGCTTCTAGTTTTTGTTTGTTTCTTGTTTTTTTTGAAACAGGGTCTCACCTTGTCACCTGGGCTTAGAGTTCAGTGGTATCGTTATAGCTCACTGTAACCTCAAACTTCTGGGCTCAAGTGATTCTCCCGCCTCAGCCTCCTGAACAGCTGGGACTACAGGCTTGTGCCACCATGCATGGCTACTTTTTATGGTTTTTGTAGAGTCATATGGGGTTTCACTTGTGCTCAGGTGGGTCTCAAACTCCTGGCCTCGAGCAATCCTCCCATCTCAGCCTCCCAGAATGTGAGGATTACAGGTGTGAGCTACCGCACCTGGCCTAGTTTCTCACCATTAAGTACGATGGTATATGTAGGTTTGTTGTAGTTTTTTTAATCAAGTTTAAGAAGTTCACCTCTCTTTCTAGTTTGATGAGAGTTTTTATCATGAATGGGTATTGGATTTTGTCAAATGATTTTTCTGTATCTACTGATATGATCGTGTGATTTTTATTCTTTAGCCTATTGACGTGATGGATTACAGTAATTAATTTTTGAATGTTGAACAAGCCTTGCATACCTGGAATAAATCCCACTCAGTTGTAGTGTATAATTCTTTTTATACATTGTTGGATTGTATATACTTATTTTTTGTTGAGGACTTTGCATCTATGTTCATGAGAGATAGTGGTCTGTACTTTTCTTGTAATGTCTTTGTCTGGTTTGGGGTAATACTGGCCTTATAAAATGAGTTAGGACGTATTCCCTCTGCTTCTATCTTTTGGAAGAGATTGTAGAGAATTGGCATAATTATTTCCTTAAATGTTTCCTTAAATGTAGAATTCAGGCCAGGCTCAGTGCCTCATGCCTGTAATTCCAGCACTTTGGGAGGCAGAAGCAGGAGGATCACTCAAGACCAGCCAGAGCAACATAGTGAGACCCTGCCTCTAAAAAAAAAATTAGCCAGGCCTAGTGGCATGTTCCTGTAGTCCCAGCTACTTGGGCGGCTGAGGTAGGAGGATTGCTTGAGCCCAGAAGTTCGAAGATAACAGTGAGCTATGCAGTGCAGCCACACTGCACTCCAGCCTGGGTGATAGAGCAAGACACTATCTGTATAAATTAATTAATTAATTAATTTTTAAAAATGTAGAATTCACCTGTGAACCCCATCTGGGCAATGTAGCCAGTTTTTCAAATGAATTTATTTCAGTTGTCATCCCAATGAGGTATTTTATTAATTTATTTATTTGCTTTGTGGGAAAATAATATTGCACTGAACTTCTTTGAAGGTAGTCTACAAAAAAGAAATGATCTAAACTGCGTTCAATAGGATTGAGACAAAAAAATTAACTTTTAATATTTAGTCCCAACCCTGCAGCAAACTTCATTCTCAACTGACATAAATACATGTGAGAGTCTATGGTCTGTTTTTTTTTTTTTTTTTTAGAGATGGGGATCTTGCTGTGTTGCCCAAGCTAGTGTTGAACTCCTGGCCTCAAGCAGTCCTCCCCAGTTGGCCTCTGAAAGTGCTGGGATTACAGGCATGAGCTACTGCTCCTGGCCATTGTCTGTTTTGAATGAGTCTTTTAAACTGAGAGTGGGTGAATGTGGAAGGCCCCAGGAGACCATGATTCATTCGAGAATGGTAAATCCATAGTCTTTGAGAAAGTAATTAAGAAGCTAATAAGCACCAGTGTCCATACCAGGCACTAGATATTCATGATCTTTAATTCTTTTTTTTTTTTTTGAGACAGAGTCTCACTCTTTTGCCCGGGCTAGAGTGCTGTGGCGTCATCCTAGCTCACAGCAACCTCAAACTCCTGGGCTCAAGCGATCCTACCGCCTCGGCCTCCCTCCTGAGAAGCT